GTTGCAGCAAATCGGCAGTTACATTGAGATCTTTCAAACCACGTGCCTCCCATAAAAGAAACCAGTAGCAACACTTCATGTTGCGTTCTATAGACTAATAAATATTTTGATAAATAATTATTGTGTAATTCTAAGAGTTGTTGAAATGTGACGTTAGTTTTACAAACCTGAATTGTAAAATATTCATCGTTTAAATCCCAGGAGACAAAAAGAGTGTTCCAATCAATAATTTTTCTTAAATCATTGTAACGAAATAATACTTCAAGATGTAAAAGATCTATCTCTAAATTCGATTTTACCAGTTCGGATTTTTCCTGGAATTAGAATAACAGGTCAACATTAGCTTCATAAATTATCAATTTTTGCATTAACTAATTTGCAATAAATCAATGATTAAGTCATTATTTTGTTACAAATACTTTTGGTGCTTTTGCTACAATTTTAGAAACTTAGTCCATGATAGTTAATGTTACGTGAAATATTAAAATGTTCTTGCATATTCTGGGATACCTAATTTATTTATGAAAACAAAAACTCTTCACTGCCTCAACGTCAACCATTTGTCATGAATCCGCTTCTGTACCGCAGGAACAGCATTGTATTTACCTCAACTTTAGAGAACCACAATTAAAATATATATATCTAAGAATTAATTGTGATTGTCATTTTATTCATCATGATTTCAATTATTTAATAATATTCATTATTTTAACAATTAATTTAATATTTTTAAATTTCATATTGTTATTTTAATTAGTGTATAAGTGTTTTATCTAAGTGTCTAACAAAAAAGTAATTTCTAAGATGATTATAACTACTAGAAATTCCAATTCCTTAAATCAAAAGGCGAAACGTCAATAAAGAATATTTCACCCCTTACTAGTTGCTTCTAATTAAAAAAATCTTAATATATCATTGGGGAAGAAAGTACACAGGATGTATCTATAACTTCTTCTTGCTAGATGATAATACTGCTATATGTCATCTGCAAATCTAAGTATACTAATCTTTTGCCCCTGTATATCTATCCCTAAAGTTGTCCTATCTTTAAAGATGTTTATCGCGTGTTCGATATATAGATTAAAAAGTAGCGGTGACGTTGTGAAACCTTGTCTAACGCCCTTCCTAACATTTACTTCTCTACGTTGCTGCTCAAGTTCTATAAGTGCATGTTGCTCTTTATAGAAACTATATGTATATCACTCTCCTGACTCTGTATCGCATCCCTACAAATCTATTACAGTGATAAAATTTAAAATTAAACTTACTTCATTATATTCTTCCAAATTTAATTTGTAAACCTTGACGGTCTTTTCTAAAACTATATCGAAAGCCGCAGACGCTCGCAGTTTAAAAGGACAGAGGACTCTCACATCGAAGCAATGCGCTGTTGCCAAATTTCTCAGCATGGCTTGTATTAGAGACGGCTGTGATAATACACAACAGAAGAAGATATAAAAGTAATAGCCATTACAGTACACCTTTTTCTTTTCTAATAAGGAACTGTCAGTAGGTACCGTAAAACACGATGTATACTTCGTTTAGTTTCTCTAGCGATGTGACCTTTAGCTTGACCGGCGCAAAGTAAAAAAGAACAGCACTAGGCCAGAAAAGGAAGACAACTCTCGGCCAAACTCTCAACCGGTGAGGAGCGTATAATCCGTACAGTATTGCACGGAAAAATTGACCACTTTATCCACTAAAATTGCATTGCTCTAATGTGCTGTTATTGGTACCAATTACTACTGAAAATATCAACGAGTTGTTTGTTTATATTTGAAGACATATTAAAGGTTTTAGAGCTTGTTTTCGACACGGACTACTTCATGATTGAACAATACTTTTGCCAAGTACTGTACGAAAAAATATCTTTATGTACAAGAGTCGAGAGTATAATGTGCATGATTTTGCCAGTGCGCATCCAAGACATTGGAAAGGGCACATCACTAAAGAAAGTAAACGAAGTATAGCAAAATATTATCAGCAATCGGTAGGCATATTAACTTATTCTTGATGAATGGTACCGCGTTAAGTTTTAATGATTTTGTAAGAATAAAAATCAGTTAATAACTACCAGCATCAAAGTGGGAGAAGATTGAGACATTTAATTTATTGAATGTTAAGTTAATTATTGTACTCAAAATTGGTATATAAAACTATTATCCATTTTATTTAACAGTTACAATAGATTAAGGTTTTATTTAAAAAAAATAATATCTTACGTTTATTTGTTCAATTTCGGGATGAGCACTGTCAAAATTTCCTTTTAAAGTCAAATACTCGATGTAGGAATATCTAATTGTAAGTACAATTATTGAACACGTTACAGCAACACCTCCCAGTTTTTGAAACATATCCAGAGTGGTGTTGAATATGTCAAAGTAATTTTCGTAGTACTGGAATGAATATTTACTTTTTAAAGAGATTACAATAGCAATACTACTTTCCTCATACCTCATCGTAAAACATGAAGACTTTTGTAAAATGTTCTTCGTGTGGTATAATATCCTCGATAAAAGCGTTCATCAATTTAGCTAGATTGGATCTTCGCATTTTCAACGTTTTCTCTACAAAATATAAAATGAAAGAAAATTATCTGATTTTAGAAATTTCTTTTCCTTGTTCTTATACTTTGATACAAATTCCGTATTTTTAATAAAAAGAAAAATAAATTTTTCTCCAAATTATAACATAGTTATTTATAAAATAAAAAAGAAATGTATTGATATATATATTTTTTTTAGCAGACCCATGGATCTTTTTTATACTTATATATTTTTTATTAATTTCTGGGCAAGTTTCAGTAAGTATTTGAATCAGAACTAAACTTCCAAACTTAAATTTCTTATTTAAAGATACCGTGAGTCCATTTTATAGCTTGATTATAAGTATAAAATTAAAAGCAAATTTATGTACTTACTTTCGACAGCTGTGAAAGCACGTGATAGTACATAATCGACAAGAACGTTTTGAGCTTGAGTGGTAGACACCTTTAGATGGAGTTGTTTAAACGGTTGCACTTTACTGAATTTTGCAGACAACTCGTTTAAATATTCTAAGTGAAGGTCTATTATCACGTCAAATGCCTAAGAAATAATTATAAATTTATGACTTTTCCTTTTTTATCGTTAATAGTATAATTTATATAAATTTCGACTCACTGTTTGCAACAAAGTTGGTTTTTCTTGGTTTTGACTCATTATAATTAAACATTGAGATATGAAACTAGCACATTTTAATTCAAGTTGATCGATCTTTTGTTGCAGCAAATCGGCAGTTACATTGAGATCTTTCAAACCACGTGCCTCCCATAAAAGAAACCAGTAGCAACACTTCATGTTGCGTTCTATAGACTAATAAATATTTTGATAAATAATTATTGTGTAATTCTAAGAGTTGTTGAAATGTGACGTTAGTTTTACAAACCTGAATTGTAAAATATTCATCGTTTAAATCCCAGGAGACAAAAAGAGTGTTCCAATCAATAATTTTTCTTAAATCATTGTAACGAAATAATACTTCAAGATGTAAAAGATCTATCTCTAAATTCGATTTTACCAGTTCGGATTTTTCCTGGAATTAGAATAACAGGTCAACATTAGCTTCATAAATTATCAATTTTTGCATTAACTAATTTGCAATAAATCAATGATTAAGTCATTATTTTGTTACAAATACTTTTGGTGCTTTTGCTACAATTTTAGAAACTTAGTCCATGATAGTTAATGTTACGTGAAATATTAAAATGTTCTTGCATATTCTGGGATACCTAATTTATTTATGAAAACAAAAACTCTTCACTGCCTCAACGTCAACCATTTGTCATGAATCCGCTTCTGTACCGCAGGAACAGCATTGTATTTACCTCAACTTTAGAGAACCACAATTAAAATATATATATCTAAGAATTAATTGTGATTGTCATTTTATTCATCATGATTTCAATTATTTAATAATATTCATTATTTTAACAATTAATTTAATATTTTTAAATTTCATATTGTTATTTTAATTAGTGTATAAGTGTTTTATCTAAGTGTCTAACAAAAAAGTAATTTCTAAGATGATTATAACTACTAGAAATTCCAATTCCTTAAATCAAAAGGCGAAACGTCAATAAAGAATATTTCACCCCTTACTAGTTGCTTCTAATTAAAAAAATCTTAATATATCATTGGGGAAGAAAGTACACAGGATGTATCTATAACTTCTTCTTGCTAGATGATAATACTGCTATATGTCATCTGCAAATCTAAGTATACTAATCTTTTGCCCCTGTATATCTATCCCTAAAGTTGTCCTATCTTTAAAGATGTTTATCGCGTGTTCGATATATAGATTAAAAAGTAGCGGTGACGTTGTGAAACCTTGTCTAACGCCCTTCCTAACATTTACTTCTCTACGTTGCTGCTCAAGTTCTATAAGTGCATGTTGCTCTTTATAGAAACTATATGTATATCACTCTCCTGACTCTGTATCGCATCCCTACAAATCTATTACAGTGATAAAATTTAAAATTAAACTTACTTCATTATATTCTTCCAAATTTAATTTGTAAACCTTGACGGTCTTTTCTAAAACTATATCGAAAGCCGCAGACGCTCGCAGTTTAAAAGGACAGTATTCGGCCATCCAAGTTGAATATAATTTTGAAAAGGAATCTAGGACATCTTCGTTTACACTGTTGATAAATAAAGATTCTTGTAAATTCATAAGCTGGTCCAAATACTGCAATTGTTAAAAATAAAATTCGATATAGTGACGGCATAAAGAAATTCGCAAAGATAATTGTACCTTGTTATAGTGGGTTAAAGGAGTTTCTTCGTAATTAAAAACTAATAATATTTCACAAAAACTTTTTGTGCAAAGTGCATTGCTTGAAAATTTTCTCATTAAGTCATATAGTCTGGTTATAAAAAAGTATGCAATTTTCTGGTTGACTAGTTCTTGTGGTTTTTCTAAAAACAGAAATAGATGACCATCACATCTCAGTAAAAAAAAGGGCATTTCACATACTTTTTTAACATCAAATATCGATGTAAATTTGCACTACAGTATTTACTTATAGTACAAACATTAATATATTATATTCATAGAATGTTGGACGTTCTTTTGACGTGATATACTCCCGTACCTACTAGGTAATTGAAAGTACTTAAAATTTATATTAATAGCAAACATAGTTCGAAAAAGGTTGTTAAAGGTGTATGTTTGGAGCACGGCATTATACGGGTGCGAAACATGGACAGTGGGCGCGGCGGAAAAGAAAAGGTTAGAAGCGTTCGAAATGTCGTGTTACAGGCGAATGATGAGGATAACGTGGGTAGAAAAGATTAGAAATGAAGAGGTATTAGAAAGAGTAGGTCTAGTCAGAGACATATTAGAGGCAGAAACAGGAGTTAGGAGGGATAGAGGTAGACCTAGGTTAGATTACTGTTCGCAAATAGTTAAGGATGTGGGTTGTTCTAGTTTTAGGGAAATGCGAAGTTTAGCTCAGGATAGGAAAGAGTGGAGGTACGTGTCCAACCAGTCTTAGGACTGACGACCTTATGATGATGATGAAACATAGTTTAAGATACAGTATACACATTAAATAGAAGTGTGAAACTTGACAATGTTTACTAACATATTTTTTATTATATTCTACTAGCTTTTCCCCGCAGCTTCGCTAGCATAAATTAATATTGTTTCTCCATAAAACCTTTCAACTCCCAATTCAACCACAATTAAAGTGTCCCAAACAAAAATTGCAACACCTTCCCCCCCTTTGGAGATTGAATTTTTTAAAATGTCGAGACAGATCTTTCAGAAATTAAATGAGAGACCATTAAAACCAAGTTTCAAGTAAATCTGACCATAAATAGTATATGTTCCATTTAAACATTGCAACTCCTCTTCACCACTTATCCCACCCAACAGACTGAATTTTTTAACCAGTTTCAGGCGTACTTGGCGCACCACTTAATACGCCTCTGAACATGATTCAAAATGCTTTTCAACTAAATTAACAACATCAGTACCTATGTTAGCAGTTAAATGATTCAGTTTGATTAATTTACCATCTGTTAAAACAACATTACTTCAGAAAACTGTTTTTTGAGGGTGTTGCACTTTTTAACGCTCTCCCAGTGATTATATATGGGGTTACGAGTCTGAGTAGTTTTAAAAGGGGAATTTTTGATTACCTAAAAAAATAAATGGGGCTGGATAATAATTCAGTTTCAATTTAATTTGTAGTAATACAATGTACCTTGTGAATATCAGTAAACATATTGAAATTCCTGGTGGTTTATATTAAATATTAATTTGAAAATTCATTCTCAATTTCTTTTCCACTATAAGTAATTATAAAAAATTTTGTTGCTGCTGTAACACCCTCGCCGTGACCTTTGGCTTCGTCACCTCTCGTAGTTTAGTGGTTAGAGCATTGGTGCATGAAACCAAAAGTCCCAAGCTCAATTCCCGGCTAGGGTGTGATAAAGTAACAAAAAATATTTCTTAAAATATGTAGTGCAAAACCCGCACTCAAATCTCAGAGAAAAATTCGAGTTACATAAGTGGAGAAATTCGAGTTGAACTGTTTGAAATAAATGTAAAATATAATGTATGTCACAATAATATGAAACTATTTTAGTTAAAAAAATATTTGGAGTTGTAGAAGTTCAAGTTACAGAAGTTTGACTGTATATTATTTTTTTCTGACTTGGGAAAGAAATTAAAATTTGTAGGATTTTTTAAGTATTTATAAGATATAAAAGCGTGCCAGGTGCCACCTTAATGGAAAAAAAATTAATTTATAAGTGAAAATCTGTTTACAATGGAGATGACTTACCTTTTCTGCATCTGTCGCGGACAACAGGAGACCTTCCAGTTGCTATTTGGACAACACTCTGCGATAATAGACTGCATAAAATTATATCTTCTTCCTCTGTGCTATCTTCCCTCATCAACATTGTAAATATAAGGTCATAATTTTGTAATTCTCTTGCAAAATCGATGACCGATTCCACCAATAACGCAATACGTTCTAAAAACTTTTCCCAAAAATAAGTTGAAAATACTACTTAAACGGCTGACTAATACATACTTTAGGAACGCTAAGTAATTGCATTAGTTTATGAATCACATCAATGTCTTCATTATTTTCGTTGTCCCTTCTAAAGCTTTTTATTGTAAATTGGCCAGCAGCACGTGCAAGGGGATAGTTCTTTTGAAGCATTAAAGTTGAAATGGCAACTTCCAGTTTGAAATTTAAATATTGAGGATAACTAAAAAACAAACTTTTATGTGTTTCATTCCCACCAGTTATTAAATCTAGTGGACAGGCAATCTTTCCGAACGGGAGCGTTATTAGGGAGAGACAAATGAGATGGACAAAATATAGACAGAAGAGAGGTGAAAGATTATTATCTGTAGAACATTACTGTGTCAGCACTTTGCTTAAATGATCCAACCACACAAAACGTGAAGCAGAGTAACCTACGACCTCCCGAATACTAAGCTAAATAAAATAAATACATTTTCTGATATCACAGACACCAGTTTTTAAGCTTTTTTCGATCTAGGCAAGACAGTGTACATTCAAGTTTGGATCTGTTTTCCATTGAAACACAAATATTAAACTTGGAACCACGACTTTGAATCGAAAAAATATGACCAAACTATAATTCTGACAATATGGATACCATTAGTTGATAATTACTGAAGAACACTAATTCTTCATGGTTACACCCCTTGTCAGTAAATAATAATTTGGCAAATTTCATGACCAAAGCATACGACTCGAGAATAGTCTACTTTTCATGGAATATAATAGAGCGCGCGGCACACATCACAGTTAAACATCTTACGTTTTGCGCTGTTCTGCGCGTTTTCGATCTGTAGTGATATAAAAAGTATTGTATTATACTTACTGACTCATAACCGCACCAAAAAATTCAACAGCGTTAATACAAACATCATAATCTATGTCCCACATTCTTTCTTCGATGGCTTCAAGCAATGTAGCAAAATTTGGAATAATATACTGTGAAAATTTAGGCAACGCCACTAAATCCTTAGATACTGCTACTGCTTTTTGACGTATTTTAGCATCCTAGAAAACATTCCGTAAGTAATGATGAAATTAAAACTAAAAAAAAACCAATCACCCACCTTAGAGTCCGCAACTAATTCCAAGAGGGAATTAAAGCATCGTTTATTGAGCATAAGAGAAGGTATTCTTTTAAACCATTGCAATATTTCTTCCAAATACTGCATTTTAGCACGTTGAGGAGCACTGATGGTAGTACAACTAGAAAAGGAGTTTTAAAAATTTTCAAGCAAAAGAACATAGGTACCTAACACATAAAAAACAATACTTAAAACAAAAAACACTACAAATAATCAAATGTGACTATACATAAAAAGATTTCGTTCTCAGGGTACGTTTGAGAAGTTTAATGTTAATATTGAAATGTTATCACCTTAATCTGATGAAAATAATCGGTAATATACAAGTCAGTAGCCTACTAGACGTTTATAAAAAACTAATAGAAAATTTATGACAAAAATCTTTACTTCCAATGAAATACCCTTTATCTTATTGTGCTCCTGCACACAGCACAAATGGAGTAAGCATAATTTTGACTAACCATTTTGAAAGTAGATAGTTTGGTAGATTGGGTCCGTGGTTATGATCACCGAAGAGCCCAGATTTGACACCATCAGATTTTTATCTTTTGAGAAATATTAAAGCTCAGCTGATTTAAGAAAAGAATGAGTTTCGAACAAGAAGATATTAAAAAGGCCGCTACTGAAGGTGTTCTTAGAAGAATTAACAAGTGTGGCAATGTACAATCGCTGCTACAGGAGTAAGAAAAGTGAGTCATTACAAGCGGCTTTTCATTGACTCCACAACTCCACACAAAAAAAGGCTCCGCAAGTCCCATGTCCTTGCCAAAATTAATATCAGTGAAATAAGTGCTATTTGAGTGATCATTTCAAACTTATACATTTTATTGATCGTTGTCGACCAACACTCAACAGTATACTGCAGAAACATCATTTATATAGATGAAACTAATTTACACAGTAGATAAGCTGAACAAAAAAGATGGTGGGATACTACTACAACCGAAATGGAATATACAAAACCTGTCAGAAAAGGTTAGATTTCCGATCAGGCACAAAATCTGGCGATTACCATTCGGAAATGAATCACAACAACTTTATGAAGTGGATTCAAATCCAATTACTTCCAAACATTCCATCGAAATCAGTGCTTATGATTGACAATGCAAGCATCATAATGTAAAAATTTACAAATTACGTTTTCATCTATTTTAAGTATTAGTTTATTTGCGCAATTAATTTGGCGTGCACATAAAGTACGCAAAAATACTTTATTTAAGGCCTTAAGTAAACATCGTAATTTTGTGAGCGATTATTCTAAATTCAGAGTATTTTTACATCAATAATAATATTGCACAGAAAAACGGCAAGCCATATTAACGGAACAACCTGATTTCCCAATAAAAAGAGCGCCCAACTTAGGTCATTATTCCTCCGCGAACTAGTTTACTTTTATAGTTTGTTAGTACACTGTTAAAGCGCTTTAGGATCGAAGAAGGTAGAGACCCTATAATCAACAATATAAACCGCCAAAATACATTTCAAAAAAATGGTCTGTTGGTAAAATAACCAATAGGTTAAGAGGTATATCATGAGTCATCTTCCCTGCGTGGTAGATCATCAGGGGCGGATCTACTTAAAGGCTTTTTGGGCTGCAGCCCAGGGCCCCGTGGATACAGAGGGCCCCCAACCTGAACTGAAAACAATAGACGATATTGTCAATAATAAAAATTATCTAGAATTTAAAAAAATCCGATCATAAGGTTGACAACACTGCGATCAAACGGCCCGTGTGCGCATCTATCAAACGGAACGGGGAATTCCCCGTCGCTTGTTTTCGGTCGGTGTATTCCGTGTATTGTCTATTACTGGGGACTTCCCTTCGCTTATCGCCCGACGCAATTTTGTTATTTTTCTGCACTTCTGCTATCGTCGACTATATTAACGAATTGAATTTGTTATTGTTAGAAATGATTATTATCCAAATGATGTAGACGAACATTTAGTGAATGAGTGCATTCAGTTAGAATCTTACTTACTGCAGTCTAAGACACCTCTTGCAGTGAAATATTGTTTGGGTAATTTATGAAAAGAAAGTTGTTGATATTTTCCCAAACTGCTATACCATCTTAAAGATTTTGTTAACGTTGCCGATCACTACCTGTGAAGCTCTTTCTCCAGGATGTCGTATATTATAGAAAACAAATACAGGACTACAATGTCGAACTATGGACTAAATCATTTATCAGTTCTTTCCATATTGCGATTTAACAAAGGACTTACAGTGCGATGACCAAATAAAGGAATTTGCAGCACAAAAATGCAGAAAGGTTACTTTATAATTTATATAACATAACCATTCATACTTAACATATATTATATACATCTACATCACTACAGAAAACAGTTTTTTTTGACAAAATGGCAATTGGTTGAGTAATTAGGTAGGGCTCCTAAACAGTATTAGCCCAGGGCCTCAGAAATTCAAGATCCGCCCCTGTAGATAATTAAACTAATGAACTGATTTCTTGTTTGGTCACGAACTAGTTTTTGTAGTTCACACAGAGCATCGCTGTATCGAACTAGTTCGTTCGTGAACTACATAAGTCTACTCAATTACTGCCCCTTAAATAACGGTCAGCAGGGGCGCAACAAGAGGGGTCCACAGGTACCTGAGCACCCGCTCGATTGGGTTGGGCACCCAGTCAATTCTAGTCGATTTGGATAATAACCCAACTTAAAAGTTCGGCTCAAATAGTTCAAGCTCGTAAATAAGCAGCCAAACTCGATCATTTCAGCTTTTACGCACACGCAGTATATAAATATTTATAGTATTATAATGGGAGCACCCTGTCAAACTGCAACGTTGTTGCGCCCCTTGCGGTCAGCCCTTTTTAAGTCACATTTTCATACAGTTATCACTGGTTGTTTATCACTAATAGTATCTGTTTTGCAATATGATATTACACATAAAAATAAACATAAAATAATTTCGATATTTTTAACACTACTTTGAAACGGAAGGTAGTTATTAGCATGAAATAATTAGGTGCACTTCAAATTCATTTATCTAAATTAAACCTAAAAAAAATTCAATACGTTGTACATACCAACATTTATGTAAAAGAAGAATGAAACCTTCTTCATTCTTTGATAAATGACTCAGGTACCTTTCCTGTTCTTCATTATCTAACGGGTTTTTAATTATGTTCCTATGTACTTCAGTGAGAAAAGTTATTATTTTTATAGCTACAAAATAAAAATTTCTTAATATTAGCAAAAATTACCGATGAAAAGATAGTTTAAATTTACCAAGAAACAACCCAGTGTGATGTATTACTTTTACTTTACTATTAGCCATTAAATTTATAAGTTTGAGTACATGCAAGGACATGTAGCAATCATATAAAAATGTCTGATTACTACTTATAATCCAAACAAGTCTCAGAAATTTGCAAATTTCTTCCAAACATGTTATACTATACTGATGAGTACTGTTACACAGACAATACTTCTCCTGTAAATTAATTTTATTCTACAATCAACTATTCACAATTTAAAATGTATGCATATAAGCAGATACTCTCTCTCCCATCCAAATAACACAATACATATTGATTTTACATGAGTTTTTAATTCTAATAGTTTTTTACGTAAATTCCACATTTTGATGGGAGGGTATTCCTTTATCGCTTTTCATGTGTCAGTGCTTAAAAACTCTAAAAAGCGAATTAATAAAGTGTAAAGCGATGTGATTCCACCGTTCATGTTTGGTAATAAACCATGATGGCAATCAATGTCTTCAAGGATTTCCATCGATCAAACTTACGATACACGACAAACAAGCTCACGTTAACTTAATTTTTTATTATTTCTGTAACTTTTCAATACTTCACTTTAACGTTAGAAATAAAACACTATTTATTGTTTGTTCGACTACTCGTCCAGTCAAAGGAGAGAAAAGGCTGAAGAATACCTTTTAACGAAGAAAATGATTGAAATATGGGTCATTTTACTGCAAATTTCGCGAGGAATACATATGTAAATGAAAATTATTTGCCCGGCATAAGGGAGAGAAAATACGCGAAATAGAGGAACGCGGGAGGCCATTCTAGCTTTACGGGTAGCAATAGAGAAAACGATAGAAAAGGAGGAAGGAGTAGTAGGGATATAAAGCAGAGAATAGCGCAGGGTCGTGTCGCCTTTAATAAAAAGAAGTCACTTCTATGCTCGCGAACCGTTAATTTAGAAATTCGAAAAAAGGTTGTTAAAAGTGTATGTTTGGAGCACGGCGTTGTACGGGTGCGGAACATAGACAGTGGGAGCGGCGGAAAAGAAAAGGTTAGAAGCGTTCGAAATGTGGTGTTATAGGCGGATGATGAGGATATAGTGGGTAGAAAAGGTTAGAAATGAAGAGGTATTGGAAAGAATAGAAGAACAGAGGACTCTATGGAAGACAACAAAAAATAGGCGAGATAGGTTGGTAGGACACCTTCTCAGGCATGAAGGTCTAGTCAGAAACATATTAGAGGCAGAAACAGGAGTTAGGAGGGGTAGAGGTAGACCTAGATTAAATTACTGTTCGCAAATGGTTAAGGATGTGGGCTGTTCTAGTTTTAGGGAAATGCGAAGTTTAGCGCAGGATAGGAAAAAGTGGAGGTACGTGTCCAACCAGTCTTAGGACTGACGACCTTATGATGATGAATTTAACAACTTACATAAAATATCTAGGTAAATGTCTAGATGATAGGACTGTCGATAGGAGGGTAACGATCTTGTGCAACAGTAAGTGTTTTTATGTGCGGATAGGGCGCAGAAGGTTGACGTGAAAAGGCATCACAGGAGGGGAAAATAAATGGATAGAGTGAGGATGAGCTTGTGGAAGTCGAAAGATATAGGCGCAGGGAATAACGCAAACCAATTGTAGCCTAACTAAACCTAATCTAATCTAACATAGTAAAAAATTTTTTGGAGTGATTTATGTCTGCAGGCTTAATTATATAAATTTACAAATATTCAAATTTTCACAAATAAATAAAGTTACTCCGAAAAGTTTTTGCTATGTTAGTTACATTTTCGATATTCGATTTTTGACCTCCACTCCCACCCAAAAACACTACCTTTTCCTTTGTTGAGATACTAACCACAGACATCTTCAGTGCATTCAATATAAACTACAGCAATAGGTACAGCCCAATAAAACTAAGAAATATAACCAATCTACATATATTTAAATACTTCAATTTAGGGACTTACCAAATCAGTATTTAGAACGACGTTTTCAAGAGTTTCAAAAACTTTTTCTAATTGTGAATTACTCTCAAGTAAATTTTTCAAATTAAACTTCCTTACTCCTGTTAAATCTATAAAAAGTTGTTGCATTTCTATAATTGCTTCTTCTTTATTATAAACATAATGTTTACACCAGTTCAGTGCCAAACTCTACAAGAAAATATGAATGTGAAACTAGTCAATAGGTTTTTTTTATAACAATACTAAACTTACTTCTATATCCTCCCTTTTTGAAAGAATTTTAAAATATAGATTGTTTTGATTTGTAGGTTTAATGAATCTCCAGTTCCGACCTTTGTTCTTAAATTGTTTCAATATTGTTACATTTGAAGTTGATTCTTCAGAATCTAATAACAAACAAGTCATTTTAAATTAAAAAACATTTATGTTACATATCTTGTTTTGAAATACCTGAGCTTTTATCTTCTGAATTTACGTTAGTTATTAGTAGTAATGATGTCTGATTTTCCACATCAAACAATCGTCTCTGTTTTTTAATGCTAACGTTACGACTGCTTGAATTAGATGAGGACCTTATACTAGAAATATTCGGTGATGGTACATCATCAATAGGACTGTTTTCCCTAATTGGAGTACTTCGTGATAGAGAAGCTTGGGGCTGGGATGATGAATCCGTAGCTGAACTTCTCTTTCTTCTCGGAGGACAATTCAGATTTGACATTGCTTTCCAATTTTAAGATACTGCAAATTAAATGACCTAAATAAAAGTAACCTTTGATTTTATATTTTGTAAATTAACACTAGTACCTATATGTATATAAAGCAGCTTAAACTTTTCATTAATTGCTTCAAAAAAATTTTCACGAATAAACACAACCAGTTGATACGTTAACTACGTCTAACATTGAATAATGATTTTATAAAATAGCTAAATAAAAAATGAATGGTTTTCGGAAATTTGAAATAAATTGATAAACGATGAAATGATACTAGTTTACATGGACGTAACCAGCCTTTAACCTGGGGAGGTGGGGGGAATAAGTTATATTTTACGGGTAAATAATATAATTAAACATAATTTGCATTTATTCAATTAAGGAATTATTATTTAAGTTATTTAACATCAAAAAATTGATACAAATTATCATTAATACTCCAATTGTCAATGGAGTATTATATCTCTGAAGAAAAACGACATTTCCGTTCAACGGATGTTTATTGTGTTACTTATACGAAGTTGAGGTAGTCCAGGAGGGGGGTACCTACCCCCCCCTCGGTACACTCATGCTAGTTTATTCACTTTACATGGCGCATACACACAAATACTTTTCTCTGTGCGAAAATAAAAATATAAAGTAGGTGTATAGGAATTATAAATGCAGGAAATGAAAAAAATACCTCAAACCTTTTGATTAAATCTTTGTTGTCAGATTGAAAGTGTACGAATTTATTCCTATAGTTATAGGTATTGCAGGCCAGGCAAGAGGCGTAATATACTATGATTAAAAAGACTCAAGTAATTTTAATTCATAAGATAAATAATTATAATATACAAGTAAATTTTATCTGAGCAGTTTAAAATTAAAAGGTTCATTGAACCGACCGACGGGGTGGAGGGGGTATAAATAGGTGGATGGAAGGGATAGAGATAATCTATTACACTACCGGCTTTTTGGTGGGGACGGAGAGGGGGAAGTGAAATGTCGAAAGGAAAAGAAATTAACGCATTAACCTAAAATCTAACCACCTCAATTTGTTTTACTTAGAGGCAGGGTTAGGATACATTAGTTTCTTTTCTAATTATGGAGATTAGAGTACTGGAGACCGAATTACAAATGTGATACATTAGTTTACTAGTACAGTAAATAAATAGCATTGGCGTCAGCAAGTTGTCTCTAAACAGTAGCAGTAGCCAATAGAAAAAAAGCTCAGCTTGAGCATAACTAATCACGTCTTGATATTGAGACAACACTGTCTCAATATTTTCTCCAAATTGTTGGAACATTTTTTCAAGGATATTCGTTCTCCTATATTCTAACCTCCATGTTTTTAATATTCAATTTATCATCTCACCCCTTTACCCCTTTCTGAACAACAACGCCATCATCTAGAATCTTGAGAATTATCTACCATGATAAAATTTAACAATGTTAAAATCATTAGTCATTTTTCTTATTTCACACAAACTTAACCTAATAAATTCGCGCCAAATTATTCACTTTCATATCATAAGAATCATGCTAAAAGTTCAGAAAAGTCGATATTATTTTATCTAAAATAGGAATATCACAAAATCAAAATTAAAAATTTCACAGAATTGTTGAAATATTGTTAAAAGAAAGTGTAGTTTTAACAAATTCATGTGAAGCAAAATGTGCTTCTTGCAACCGCTTTTATTTAACAAACATTAAAATTAATCTTTTTCAGTAACAAAAACCATAAACTATATTAATACAGAAACAATAACAGAAAAACCAGTTACCTATGATAATTGTAAAACCTGATTTCAGTTTTACAAAACCAAACGCATCCTCACTTCAACCATACACACACGAGAATGACAAACGACGAGCCGGCAAACCATAGATAAGTAATAAGCAAACCGTTTCTCAGCGCATGCGTATGGATATGGATAACGTTAATCATTTCACATCATCCTCATGAGGTAATCAGTCCTAAGATTGGTTGGACACGCACCTCCACTCTTTCCTATCCTGAGCTAATCTTCGCATTTCCCTAAAACAGAACATCCCACATCCTTAACTATTTGCGAACAGTAATCTAATCTTGGTCTACCTCTACCCTTCCTAACTTACATTTCTGCCTCTAATATGTCGCTGATTAGACCTTCATGCCTGAGGTATCCTACTAACCTATCTCTATTTCTTATTGATTTCCATAGAGTCCTCTGTATCCTCATCATTCGCTTGTAACACCATAATTCGAACGCTTCTAACCTTTTCTTTTCCGCCGTGCCCACTGTCCATGTTTCGCACCCGTACAGCGCCATGCTCCAAACATACATTATTTCACAATCGGTTAATTTTTTTTATTAAATTACTTAACATACCAAGTAGACTAAGCCTTGCCTACGCTAAAATGCGAAAAAAAAATAGGAATAATTAAAACGTAGGCAATCCTAATTAAAATAGGCAAAAAATACACAAAATGAGTATTACAGCAAATGATAGTAATTAAGGTCAGTAAAATAAGCAAAAAGCGTGGATGATATTCCTTACAGGCAACCACACGGTTTATTCAATGTATTTATTTATAAGAATCATACCTGTGAATTTCCTCCCATTTTGAGGCGAGGAAACATTTTTTAATTAACGTTTTTATGCAGAAAAATTAAAGATGGCATTCTTTTTAACGTAGCTTTAAGCCGATTAACAACAGCTGTAATTGACATTACACGTTTGGTAGGCGATATAGACAATTAATTTGCCACCCGAATTATTAAAATCGTTCAATAATTGTTTTAAATAATCGAAAAAATCTAAAATTTTATTATTTTTTTATTCCATTAATAATTTTTCTGGAGCCCCGAAACATGGCAGGAATATGTCTTATGTAAATTATCAGAAATTGTTTATTAAAAAAATTCTATGTTTAGTTCACTTTGAACCAGTTGCCGTTATCAAAAGTGACTCAGCCAGACCTCATTTTTTTCATTGTGACACCTAATTTATAATATAAAGGTTTTTTATTTTTTTTATTAACAAATGGTGTTCAAAAATGTGCAAATATCTTAATAATAAATTATCATTACTGCAATCTCTGTTAGCTCTGGATGATTTTTAAAGAATAATACCAGTATGAATATTTCATATTCTATTTTTAGACGAATTAAAAAAAACAGATTGTTGTAAAATGTTTATAAATCGAGATAACTTTTTTAGTTGTTAATTACGCCATTTCCTTATTTATTGACATAAACGTTTAAAATTAGCACAGCAGCTACTTCAAGACTTCAATTTTATAATTCCGTTTACTGTTTTGCAAAATCCGATTATCACAATTTTTACGTCTTTTAAAACATCGCATTTTGTAAAAAAGTAAATGAAATTATGAATATGAAGTAGAAATCTTCATGTAGCTACAACTAAAAAAATTTTTCAACCTTATAAACATTTTACAACAATCTATTTGTTTTAATGCATCTAAAAATACTAGAATATGAAAAAAAAGCTATGATAATTTATTATTAAGATATTCGCAAAAAACACTGCCAGAGAAAGTCGTACTTTTTTAAACATTTTGTTAATGAAAAAGCCAATAACAGATTTATAAACTAGGCGTCACAACAATGACGGCAACTGGGTCAGATTGAATTAAACATTGGAGACCTATTTAATAAAAAAATGCATTTTCTCGAAAAGTTTAAAATATTTTTTAAGAAAGAATTTTGGTTGTTTTATGTTTATGTAAGACATATTCTCACTAAGTTTCAAGGCTCTAGAAAATATTAAAAACATTAACGTTTGTGCGGTCCTTTGGCGTCTCGATTTTTTCAGAGAACCGAGAATTTCACGAGGCTATAGCAAGGAATGGTGATCAGCAAATTCCACGTACACCAAGCCTCGCACATTTCACGCTAAAATGAGGAAAAATGAGGCTAAAAAGTAATTTATTTCCGTTTACTAACACATCACAAGGTTAGGTTAGGTTAGATTTGTTTCCGTTTACTAACACATCACAAGGTTACTTACTTGATAAAAAACACTGAGTTTAGTGAGTATCATCATCTTAAACAATATTGTTGTGAATACTGCAAAGCTTCACTAATCCGGATCAATTAAAACGTAAGCGAGCCGAATTAGTGAAAAATCCGAATTTTTGGGATCGCTATAAAATGGACAAAAAAATACACGAAATGAGTATTACAGAAAATTATAACAGTAATGTCTGAAATTGTTAATCCGGATTAACGAATCATTAGTCGATCTAGAATTATGGAATACAGGAATACATAGTATAAAAATGTATTTTATTTTCGTCCCAATTACTGGGAAGAAAAATAATTATACATTTTCCGTTTTTTTTTAGTAGATTTACAACTTAAGAATTCAAAATTTTTTATACTATGAAAAACAGAAAACGAAGTTTTACCTTTTTCTTAAAAAAGTATTCTGCTGTTGGAACTGTAGAAGTACTAGCCACCACTGTATTGTACACTATGATTCTATTGAAACTGAAATTAATCTTAACAAAGGTAAATAAATGGCAACTGATTTTATTTGCTTTCAGTCCTTATGTAGAAAACTAGCAAACAAAAATTACGTACAGTTAACTAAAAAGGGAAGACATTTCAAAAAAAAAACAAATAAATGCAAAACTTTTAGTATTTCTATACGCCATACATGACAAATATTTTACAAATGAGAAACATATATTTTTCACACTAACTTACAGATTGTATAAGAATTATGTACAAAAATGGTTACCTTTTAATTCGAGATTATGTACAAGTATCACAAATGGTTTGTACCTGTTGCTGGAACATTTGCAACTTATGTAAGTCGTACATAATTCTTTATAAATCTCACACAATATGACAACATAATTTAATTAAAATCGCTCAGGGTTAGAAATGAACTTTCCTTGCGGTAAAGAAAAAGTAAGAACTTTGAATCACAGTTAGGTATCTGATCAAAAATTACCCAATTCATTAGTGATAAAACATCATTGCCTAACCCCAGACTTGATTTATGAAAGACCTTTGAGTGTTGGTTCTCTTATAACTCGGGATAAATATATTGTTTTTTCATGATGTGTAAATATTACATTCTGTACAGAATTGTGGAACAATAGTAATAACGGTAAAGTTTATATTGTCACTAAAAAATATGTACAACTTGCTACCCTGCCAAAAATCACAATCTATTTGTACAATAAGTCAGTCAAAGATAGAAAAAATGGCAATACTTTGTGCTTACAATTTTAGACGATATTAACACTATTCTACCGGCAAGCAAACAATTCTGTACACCTAACAGCAATATATATATTTATGTTACTGCCTATTAAAACATTACAAAAATGAAAAAACCATAAAAACCCTAATAAAAGTAGTAAAATTCGTCATATGATTGGACCACATTATACATTTTATTTTGTCAGACTTCATACAGAAAACACTAATGCAATAATTAATTTTCACAGTTTTTCTAAAAAATCTAATCCTAACACAATTTAAGAAGCAATTTCACCATAAAAACTTACAGAATATACCAAAACGTAACGCTTACATAGAACTGCAAAATTACATTACTAAAACACTACCGGTTAATTAATTATAGAGTACGAAAAGTCTTATGCATTCATATCATATTCTGATTTTTTATTTTTCGATAGGAAAAACATTCTGTAGCAGTTTCAACAATATATGCACTTTATAGGCAAAAGGTTGTATTACAAAAAGTATATTGGTAAACAAAAAATATTATTCAAACTACTACAAAATTTATCATTCAAAATAAAAAATACCATAGACAAGAAGATAAAGGGATGCATAAATAATTGAAGAGGGATTAACGATAAACTGCATTTTATAAGTAACTACTTCTTCGAATATAAAAATAATAAAATGAAAAATGATTCTAACATTACAAATTATTTACAAAACAAAAACTCTGGCAGTATTATTTCCGTCATAAATGTTTGAAAATACTTTTATCTGAAATATTTCTTAGATACCTACATTCCAGCTTTCAAAATGATCGGCAATTTCAACCTTTAAGCAATTCGAATGATATTTACACAGGTTTGACTAAAACAGAATTGTACCCCATTATATTAAAGCTTTCTAATTTCATTTTTATACAATACTAGAAATAGTGTCTTGCAATTTATTATATGATAAATAATATTATCAACTTATTTATAGTTATTTCAGTTTTTAATTAAAATATGCTTTGCATAAATACCATAAAAATTAAAAATCAAATGCACAATGAAGAACTAAATATATTTTTGACTTGCATGACAATTAAAAAAATCAAATAAAATATTTTTCTAATCAATGATAAATTTCACTAACTCAATAAAAGCAAACTATCAATTGCAGCAGGTTGACTAGAACGCCGTGTTGCAAGGACAAAAAAATCGTACAAAATTGTCATGATAAACATTTATCACAGATAAAAAGATGGGATTGTTTATATACATAAAATTGAATGAATTGCTTAAAAATTGAAAGTAAATGAGAACTAAAAAAAAAACTAAGACATAAGGCACACATATTTTTGATGTCAGTATAATACATTTGTCTTTTCAGATCGAAATCGTACGAGAAAATGCAAAACGACCTGAATTAGTAACACATCTACCGTTAATCCTAAGTAATGGTGCCGTTTCCTATACTTTGACGACATTTTTATACTGTCGGGAGTTGTAATTGTTGTGGTAGTTTCTGTAGATTGATGGAGGAAGTGGAAAAGGGCTTTGTTCGCGCCATGTTTGACGATTTTGATAATAAAGATGATTCATCTGCGTCAATAATTATTTTCATTAGCTTCACATAAATGCATACAATATTACAATACAATAGTAATTAGAAGAATTCAATACGTCTTCCGAAAACTAGCAAATAGCAAAATAACAAAATAACATTTAATTTGCCAACAGCCATTCAAAATTATTTAAACATTGGTAGTCAGGCATTTTCCAATTTTGTACAGTCCTACAATATTTCCAATTTTTAAAAAAATCACACAAATTAGTTAAATTCAATATAGCTCCGGTTTACCACTTAAAATTTAAATAGATTAACAAGGATTCCAAAATTAAGATTTGAATACAAGCGTTTGTTAGATTTGGAGTATTATTGTACTTTTTTATTTAATGTTTTAACTACGTTATTGACCACAAAATTTAAAAAATTCTATTTTACACAGCAACAAATTTTTTTCTCTACACACCATTTATTACGTTGCAGTGCAATTTTTTTTTAAATACATTATTANAATCTCGAAGCTTCTGTCATCCGACCGGTAGTTGTCGCTTCGGAAAATCAACCGTTTTTTTTTTCTTTACAAACTTGGCTTACAACAGCAAAGGAAAAAGACTTATGCGTTCTGTGATCCCACCACTTCTACTATTTACCCCTGCCATTACTGCGTTCACAATTTGCTCCGACTCAATACAGCGTTGAGGCGCTCCTTTTCATAGCAACGCCATCTCCTGGTTCTATTTAGAATTTCTTACTCACGTTTTAGTACTCCATTTGAATTGGACTTCTATACTAGTCTCTCTTCTCTGACAGTATACTATAATCTATAATATATGAGATGCCGGTCATTAATAGCTGACTGTGATACCGATATGCGCATGCGCGCCTTTCTATTCTCATAGCCTATCGCGTCGCGAGACAAAACGTTGCAAAACGTGTCGTTTCATGGCCTTGAGATTTTACTCTCATCGAGCCCAAAGAAGTTACACTTCAAAAAGCAGAAAAATAAATGTATGTATTTTCTTACCTATAGCATACTTCACTAGGATCTACCCAGACGGTCAGTTCAGTAGGTAAGCTTAAATCATTATAGCTAAGACCACATTTACTTGCAGCTTGCTCTAAAGACTGATCTACTGGAGTTAAGCCATTAACTCTAATACATCTATATCCTTGTCCTCTTGCAGGTAGTTCAGGAAACCAATGCTTCTCAAACCTGTCAACAAAAATTGAAATTTATTTAAAAGAAAACCTACCAAAAGTTTTATTTACACTTATTCCTATTCGCATTCTCGCGTAGGTATAGGTACATTTTGTCAAACTTATAGAAACTTATATTATGTAAAGCAAACAGTTTCGAAGATTGCAGTAACGAATATTAAACCGGTATTACGTTGAAAATTTTTACCATTTGTTCGCATTCGTTTCCGTTTCCGTCATTGCTGGTCGTTCGTAGATATTCGCAACTCGCTTCACGAACGAAGGCAAACGAATGCGAAAGAATGGCAACGTTTCTCAAATGTATTCCTGGCTTTAGACAGAGAGAAAACGCCACAAAGTGAAACATGACTGCACCGCCGTCCGTCTGTCCATTTTTATTTTTATGCACCCCGAATAAGTAAGTTTTTTAGGTGAGACGAAGCGAGCCTTATTGGCTTCAAATCGCTTAACAATAAGTTATGTTTCACTAACTTTATACATCTGCCACTTTCATATAACCTCAGTAAAAAAAAAGAAATAAATCCCTAGCTCGGTTATCGGTATACGTTTTACACTGATATCAAACTTCTGCTGTTTTAAGGTCATTATCACCAACGATACTTAGACTTGACTTGGACAAGATTTTATAGATTTAATACTAAAAATGAACTGATATGGAACATTTCCGTTACGTATCAGTCACTTTACATATAAAATTAGTTTCTTTTGAATATATACGAAATGGTAGGTAGACACTATGGTATATGAATGAAACGGATAAAGAATACACACTTGGATCAGTGAGCTGAATTTTTGTATGTACCTTTATTACGGAGTTGTAATGATAATGTGAAAAATCGACATTGATATCGTGTCGGCTAAAAAAGTTATAAAGGTCAAAAGGTCACGAAAATCAGTTTTTCGCAAATATCTCGCGACCTATTGCTCGGAGGTCAATAGAGGTCAATTTAAAAATTGTTTGTCGTGAAATTATCTACAAAAAATGCCTGTTGCATTCTTCTGTAAAGTTAACCGTTTTCGGAGTAGAGCGCTGAGAAAGCGACTACATTATGACAATGCACTCGTTTCCTCACCAACTTCGATGTATAATGCAAGGCGCATTTTTTTTTGCATAGTTTCGCCAGTAGGCAAAATCCATGATATCTAATAAGAGGTTTTTTTATTTAAGAGTAAATAATTTTTTATTTGAATACTGAAAAATACAGAAAAAATATTTTTTTTGTCATTCATTGTCAATATCTTCAGTTTCTATATCATTAACAGTTGCTGACAAACGTCGAGTGGACTTATTCCTATATTTAAATCGACATCTTCATCATTTTCATCATTGGTTGACTCTGCGTTTAAGCATGACTGTCCACAAACTTTTGAACATCTCAAACCAATTTTTTTTCATCTACATTTGCCGCCACAACCTTTTGTACAATTACGAAAGATTGTGTTCAGTAGATCATCGGGTGCTGATGGTAATAAAGTTGTTATTAGCTGTAGTATATTATTTTTTTAACACCCAATCCCACTGTTCTGGATCAATTTCTCTTCCTGGGCAAGTTTTGTATTTGATAATAGACTCGATAAATATGCTATTGAGCTGCTGAAGAAGTAGGTGGTAATAATGGAAATTTCACAGCTATAATATAAGTATATTTTTCCCAAATCAGATAGAAGTTTTTAAGACACTTAAAATCATGAATAAAAAGTAATAAAGTTTACGCCTTAGTGTACGGTATACAATACCGTATGTGAGTGCATTCTAGTCGCTTTTTCAGCGCTCTACTCCGAAAACGGTTAATTTTGTAGGTAATTTTACGACGAACAATTTTTATAATGACCTCTATTGACTCTCGAGCAATAGATCGCGAGATATTCGTGAAAAACTGATTTTCGTGACCTTTTAACCTTTATAACTTTTTTAGCCGGCACGATATCAATATCGATTTTTTCACATCTTCATTACAACGCCGTAATAAAGGCGTGCGCAAAAATTTAGCTTACTAGGAATTTTTCCCCAGATTGGGGTTAAAAATGACTGGAAAATTACTCCATCCACCGATCTTCGAATTTCTGGAAAATTCAAATCGATAATGAATTTACATCAACTCCACGGTAAAAGTAACCAGAACTGTTTTATTAAAACAGTAGACGTTTAGTATTAATGAAAACCCGTCTGCCGGTAACCGAGCGCGAGCTTTATTTTTTTTTTTAGTTCCATTCTATATAAACGACGGAGGGTATGAAGTTAGCAAAGCGTGTCTACGTCTTACCTAAAACCTTTACTTATTCAGGACTCAAAAAAATTTATTTTAAGCCCTCAAAAGGACAAAATCTGCAAAGCCATGTTAATTTGTGTTGTTTTCGCTCGGTTTATATGGAAACCGTAGGTACGCTCATGGAGGAAGTCACGACAGGACAAGGCTTAGCAAAGATTAGCCCAAGATTTTCTAATATTGGGCCAAGCATAGCAAATGCTTGGTTTGTCACTTCGTCCCAAGTCTGTTTGATAAGCTAATGCTAATATCAAACAATATTTATTATTTTAACATNTGAGCAATCCCATGTTTTAAAACTATAGCCAAGAAGGGCTCGCGGGGAGGCAAGTTACTTACCCAATGTACTGTACATTAATGCAGAAAAATATTTTCAATGAGACATATTAGAGACAGAAACAGGAGTATAGGTATACCTAGATTAGATTACTGTTCGCAAATAGTTAAGGATGTGAGATGTTCTAGTTTTAGGGAAATGCAAAGATTAGTTCAGGATAGGAAAGAGTGGAGGTGCGTGTTCAACCAATCTTAAGACTGACGACCTTATAATAATGATGACATAACACCAACATCTATTGATGAAATTGGATGATGAAACACTTCACTTCTATTCTCTTCTTGGAAAATACTATCTTCTTTTATCAATAATTATTTTAATTTTGTATTTTTAATGTATGTATACAATAAATATAATTACATTTTATAAAATTTATTTCTAGGAAACTCGGATTTTATTGAATATTACTCAATATATTATGTTTATTTATAACCTAGACATTTGAAGTTCGGTACAATTTTGATTGACCAATACTTTATTGCTCAACATTACACATTTTGACGAAACCGAACCTCGACACTTGAATATAGTCCGAACATTTATATTAACATATTAACAAACCTATACTTGGCTGCCCAATACTGGACCAAACCTAGCTAAACGTTAATATACCAAACCTTGGCACTGAAGACTGGCAGAACTTTGGATCGATATTGACAAGCCAATGCTTAGTTTTATATTACTGGTCCAAGTTTCGGCCTATCGTCAACTCCGATATTTCCTACATGGGCATGTATGGATTATTGAAGTAAAAGTAAGCATATTTTATAAATAGAAAGTAAAATTTTGATGATATCGATGTTATAAACATACTTCACGAATTGTTTATGACTATTTAATTACCAAGGCCAATACTTATGGTCATAAATTTATAACAAAATAATTTCCGACAATTTTTATACCAATAATAATCACTCAGGTTTTAAATAAATAATTAATACACATATTACGGATGTGTTAATTCGATGTTCTGTTTTGGTGTTTATAATTAAATAGAACCTCTATTCTATGACTCTAAGGAATTTTCAACATGTATAAAATATCTATCATAAGTGATACAATTTTTGTGGATACAATCGTTGACAGGGTTGAAACGATTTAAATCAGTTGATTGAAATCACGATTAATTTGAAAAAATGAAGTTAGTTGGACACTTATTATCTTATTCATAAAAGAAGTAAATATTTATTGTTTATTATAATAATTAAAAAAAGGATTTTTATAAAACCACAACTTTTTAAAAAATTTTAACACAAAAAACAGAACTGTAGATAACTAAAGAAAAACTACATATTGTTGAACTCAAGTTTGTTTCTTATATCGAAATGTATTACGAGTCAGTACACTATAAATAACACGGGTCCGCGAAATTTTTTTTTGAAAATTTTTTTTCTTAAATTGTTAATATTTGTCGTAATTGTCTTAAAAGTAATAGAAAATGATATTCATATGGTTTATACCACGTCACATTAACCCATAAATGCTTAGAGAACACATTTCCATTTGAACCCTTGCCACGTAATGAGTGCGACGAAAAAATATTCGATAACCAGTGTTTCTATGTTTTTAACGATGCTCTTTTCGATGG